AATTTTAAATGTTCACAAAGTTATATCATTACAATGTACAGTAGCTACTAGTGTATGTTGTGGGTTGTTTGGTATACAATGCATATAGAAAGATATTATAGTTAGTGTCTCAAGATACAGGTAAGTGATGCAACCTTATGTAGTTTTGGCACAAGTTATTGTAAAACTTCATTTACAGGTAGGCCTAAATTCTAGGCCACTGGTAGCTTACCATATGTTTGGGGGTCAACCTATATGGTAGGTAAAGGCCTGACTCAGAATTTTGAGCTAAAACTCTTGATGTTGACGTGCACCACAATTTACATTGTGTGTGTGTGTGTGTGTATATATATATATATATATATATATATATAACAAGCCCAAAAGATCAAAAATAGAGCAACACAAACCCTCAAACAGACTTCTGTCAAGGAAAATAACTGAAATTTATATAACAACCAAGATGTGTCTCCCACATACAGCAGTGCTGTAGCATTAAAAGGATGCACAGTGTGTCCATTCACAGGTTTCACATTGTTAACGATGATAAAATATCCCTGAATACATTACTGTGTTATGTTTATTGTTCAGCCAAGATAATAATCGCTTAAATACATATGCCATAATTTAAGTTACTTGAAAATGAAAATGTCCTCCAACTGTGAATAGTGTCCCAACATTAAAACCACTTTTATTTCAGTACATCTTACCCAGTCTTATAATGCAGGCCCAGAAGTGCTCCTTGGGGCAGACTACAATCCCCTAGCTATGCTAATGGTGGGAGGGTTAAAAAAAAGATTTCTGTGATTATGTGTGTTACAAACTTGAAAATACAAAATTTTCTCTTTCAATCAAAAAGATTCAGTTATGTGCCATGCATGATACACGCTTAGGCGATCATGTATCTTTCGATACATGACTAACGAGGCAGATTGTTTCCTGCAGTAGGTTGCCATTTCATTCTGCGGTAGACCAGTTGCCATCCAAGGCTATAGAATCCAGTCTGTTCTTATATTTACCCGTAGCTGGAGGGCAAAGATGATTCATGCCTTTCCTAAGGGTATTAGCATGTAAGTGAATGTAATGGATTTGAATGGAATTCAAACTCGGATTTCCGATTCCTCAATCCGAGCCGCTATCCATTATGCTGCTGTACCCCAAAAAGATTAGGGTAGTTATAAACATTTTTACATAATCATTTTTTGAAATAAAATCACAATAGAGAACTAAAAGTAATTGAAATTTTTTTTTTAAAATTTACGTACTTATGTATTATGCAATGTGGCTTCTTTTATGTGCTGTGTCCCTTCAGGATGTGGTCTATCATGGCTCTCCACAACTTCCTATCCTTTGTAACACTTAGCAATGTTTGTTTCCTTATTATCCCTCCCAGTCCCTGTTCTGTCATCCATTTATACAAATTTAGGTAGGTTACTGTTTCCCCTCTGTTCCTCTTGCCTTCCATACAGCCATATCATGTTGAAATACCAGTTCCATACAGTCACTAAAGTTAAGCAACATCAAGCCTCATTAGTACTTAGATGGGTAACCACTTAGGAATATCAGGTGCTGTAAGCGTGGATGTGTGGTTGGTGTAATGAATAACGGCTCCAAATTGGAGATTAGAGAGCCGAGTTCCAATTCCACTTGGGTTTGTTATATTCATTTATATTCAAATACCCTTGTAAAAAGTATGAATCCACCTCATCTTCTTCCCCCCAGTTATGGGTTAATTAGTAGGGCTTATCAGTAAATCATTATTAATCTCCAAACAATTTTTACAATCTAAAAATATTTTCAGGCTTTAAATAACCTGCAAAAGGTTGATAAGCAGTAAAACACAAATCAGTCTAATAGATTTTGCTTCCTGTATTGCAAGGTTATGAAATTATTATTTATTTGCCAAATGCATAAAGGAGTTGGACTGTTTTAAATTGTTCTTTTCTGAAACTTTAAAAGTTTTCTGAAGCCAAGGCACAAAATGCTAGGGTCTCCTTTCAAGATGTCAAGACTTTGATATTGTCAAAGAATACTTGTCACATTGAAACAATGAAAAATATGAACTGTTGTATCTGTCTATATTTCTGACCTGAGGTATTGTAATTATTTACACTACTTAAAATATTCAGACTGTTATCCTAATCTTTGGGCTTAGGATACATGGTCCAGTGAATAAAAGCGTTGGTTGAAGTAATCCAGTGACTTGACCCAAAGAGATGGGTTCTTGCTGCAGCAGAGGTGAACAAAAAAAAAAAAATTTGGAGAGTTGAGCTAAAGGGAAATAACTGATAATGAGATATATGGAAGAGGCATGGCATGTGGAACTAGAAAAATCTACCCCAGTGGACAAAATAAAGGGTTCAGTTCGAAATTCCAATAACCTGATGAAGAGTGGATCCTACAACAGCTGAAGCATTGTGAATATGGTAAATAATGAAGTGTTGTGTTGACAAATACTGATTCTCTTTTATATTTCGTTTGCTTTTGTAGGAAATGTACAACTTGTCTGTGCTCAAAGAATCCCTAAATAAAAGCAACACGAACACACAGAATATGCTGTCCATACTCAACAGCTTTGAGACAAGGTTGCGGAAGCTTGAAAACACTATTGTTCCTGTGTACCAAGAAACTGAAAACCTTCGAAGACGTCAAGAAAGTATCCTTTGTATTGATTGAGCTCACATTTGAAAAAAAAACATTATTTCTCTTTTTTTTTTTTTTTTTTCTTACTTTAAATAAATCAAGATTTTGGTGATATGAACCCTGTTAACTATGGATGATAGGAATTTCCATCATTGTTCTAAAGCCCAATTGCAAATAAGATAAATTTTTGAAACAGCTACATTTGTTAACCATTAGACTCTGTTAAATATTCACTGTACTGATTATCAAGTTTTATGTAATTCTTTGGTGATAATGGATGTTTCAAGTTGTTAATCATCTCAAATGTACTCCCTAGAACCCATGAGAAAATAAATGGACAGCTTCTTCAAATAGCATTTGATTATCTATTTTGAAAGTGTTAAATAGACTTACATTTTCTCTCATCCATGTCAAAGTTGACAATAAGGGTAACAGCTTTTTATTGTTAGTACCTGGGCAGGTAAGGTATTTAGGGCAAAGTGGTTTGTCTAATACTTCATTTACCTTGATTCAACCCTGTCACTGAAGACTATGGAGGTGTTGACTTTTTGCTGGTACTGCCTGAGCAGTACCAGCAAAAGAGATTGGTTTGCCCTAACATTCACTCACTTGCCTTCATGATTGAACCCTGTCAATATAGACAAAGGTAATAGCCTAGCTTTTTCTGTTACTGCTTAGGCAGATAAGTGCTTCATCTAAGAATTTTGTAGACTGTTATATCTAACACTTAATTTAAATAAACTAGGTGACCACATAAGAATAAGAAGAACTATAGCTATCCAAATTATTTGAATGGTGGCTGCTGGCAAAGTCCTTGTAAACAAACTAGAAGTAGTACTGACCTAGAACAGCAGACTTCCAAGGATAAAAGATACCCTGGTGGCGTATTCTTTATTTTTTATGTGTGTTACTTATTATGTTAGATCATTCTAAAAGGTGAATGATCTAACATAATAAGTCTTTTACAGTCTTTTCTAAGGTCTTTTCTGGAGTTTTAGAGTGGCTAGACACTCAGCAGGATTAAAACAAGACCTGTCAAAGGGTGGATGAGCCTTCTTGTAGAATCAACAGACATCCTACACAATGAGGTAGACTGGGATCCCTAGCTATGTACACAGCCTGTGTGGTGATGACCTGGCACTGCTGAGCAGACAGCCTCCTCGACTGAAATCAATGGCCGGGGTGGAAGGTTCTCCCAATGGAATCAACCACGTGTTCATGACTAAGGTGAGCCTTCAAGTTAGGGAACATCAGCTGTCATTTGACCTGGAGATGAATGGGCTCTACCAGGTCTACTTACCCAAGACATGCTATGCATGAATGAATACTTCTCTGGCTTTCAACCCAGATATGTGGAAGAAACTGGTCGAATACTCAGTTGCCCAGCAACCATACAACTACACCCAGTCATAGGATTAATGATGTTATTTATTAATGGTAGTAAAGTAGCAGTTTTAGAATTTCTGTCTGGATTTTTGAGAAGAGAAATTATAAACCAATTTATTTGAACTCTTGTTCGTATCTTGGTTATAGTCAGATTTTCAGGGGACGAAGTGTATAATGTAGGAGTTTTTTTTTTTTTTTTCTCCATTTTGTCATTCAATAACCCACTATTCATCTAATGTATAGATTTGTATCTCACATCTTCCATTTAAGATCTTCACAGACAAGTTGTTGTTACTGGACAGTTAATTGGAAAAAAAAATAGTTTATTATTCCTACAGAATAACCAAACCAAAAATGTCGAAGTTTTTATATTTTTCCAATATAAAATGAATATTCACAGATATGTTCCAATATCTCATTAAAATAAAAAAATTTTATTTTTTAATTTGAAGAATCATCAGTAATCTCTTCTTGGTTTTTGCATAACTTTGTTTTAAACATAGTCTAAACAAACTAATTTTCTTATTTGTATCCTTTGTGTAAAATGTTGGTTATAATTGCAGTTAGCGTAACTGCTAAAACCTCTCCTTCCCAAATTTATGCACAAATCTTACAGATGCATGTTTGGGTTTCATCCTAACTAATGAAAACAAATATGAACAATTCCTGGCTTTATCCTCACATTTTTGTTCTTGAACTCAGAATGTTTTAACCACTTGACTGTATCCCTTTTGTTTGTACACACTATTCTACTTTGTGAACTGTTTTGCTTTATCACTTCTTATAGTTGCTTTGCTTTTGATTTTCATTATATTTATATATTGTCTCATTATTTTGCCCTTTTCCTTCTTTCCCCTATTATTTTGGAGAATATTATCAATTCTGCTTCTTGGGAATTTTATCAATCTGCTTAACCACATAATTCTGATTCCACATAAAATCATATTTTTTTCTTTTTATTCCTTGACAATATAACTGATATTGACAAGACTATGGCTACTTTGGATAATGTCTTAGGTTATTACCATGTGGCTAAAGATTTAGAATGTGTCATCAAAGAAGGGTAAGTTTTAGATTTTACTTTCATTGATCAAGTTGCCAGAATTCATGTTTATCCATATACAAGGTTTGATCAAAAGGTATCTGTTGCTATGGTAACAGAACTAAAGTGTGCAGTGTGAGGCTGCTTGGCATAGGTTGACCATAAACTCTGTTATGCATGTACACTGGATTATAATATTCTCACTGACTCTTGTTGTTTATAGCAATGCTTAGAAGGAAAGTGTATAGAATGTGGTCATCTTATCACACCACTGAGGTTCCATCAGTGACCATGGCTTGTGTAGCAGATTTTGGTCAAGCACATTCTCCAGGTCCAACAAACACCATGTTTCCCAGATCTCACTTCTTGCTACTTTTTCCTCTTTCCAAAAATCAAATCCCACTTGAAAGTAACAAGATTTCAAGACACCTAGGAAATCCAAAATAATATGACAAGGTAGCGGCTTGCAATGACAAGAAAAGAGTTCCAGGAATACTTCCATCAATGGAAACAATACTGAATAAAGTGTGAGGTTCTGAAGGTGACTACTTTGAAGGAGATTGAATGCTGAATTGGTATGTGTTGTAATTTTCTTTTTATATCACTGCTCCCGTTACATTTTGATCAGAACTTGTACAATGTGGATATCAAATTACAGTATTTTTTGAAATATAAGGCACACTGATGTATAAAATGCACCCTTATTTTCAAGAAGTTTTGAACAAAATGCTGGTCATATTTAAAATATTTTTATTGAACAAAACTTCAACGTGATACCTCAAAAATGAGTCTATATAGTTCTAAGCACAAAATAGCTAAAGACATCAAAATAAGAAAACACTATAAATCAAAAAAGGTTTACTCTTATTTACTTTGGTTTAAAACCTATACGGTCCAAATTGCTTTCATTCTTGCTTGGAAAAGAATCAGACAGTTGGCTTCAATATTATGATCAAAGTGAATGTCATCTTCAGTCCCATTAAATGCGTTACTGATGCTGCTTTTCTTATATGACTTGATCACTTATTTTTTTCCCCATGCACACCTGAGCGAGGATCATTTTTTTTTTCCTTCATCCAGTAGGAGTTGTGGCAAAATCAGCTTGTTGTATCCAGTTGTTCTGTTCCTTTCTCATTAATGTCTTAAAGGGTTTGTTAATAGAAAAAAAAAAAACTGATAGGTTGCAATTGACTTGTTAAACTGCCAGGTATAATAGTTGTTTTTTACTTACATTATTTACATTATTTGGACTGTTGTCCTCATCTTCATTGCCATATTTACAACATTTCAGCTGTTGTACATTCTAGCCTTCTCCAGGTGATTGGAATTTTGAACCAAACCCTTTATTTTGTCCACTGGGATATATTGTTCTAGTTCCACGTGTCATGCCTCTTCTGGATGTCTCCGTTATTTCCATTTAACTCAACTCTCCAAGTTTTGGTTCATTACTGTTGTTACCTGGTATTGAACTCACAATTCCAATCACCTGAAGAATGCTGGAGCCTACAATGGCCGAAACATTGTGAATATGGCAATGAAGATGAGGATAACAGTCCAAATAATGTAAGTTATCATAATAGAGATATAGACAGAAGTTGATTTTCACTTTATTGTATTATTCATAACATTTGGTGTATAGGATGCAAGCAGATTGTGACATCAAATTTTATGGTAAAAAAAAAAATGTACTTTATACACTGAAAAATGTTAAGATCGGAAAATGAGATTGTTATCAAACCCTTTCTATAATATGAAAACTTTATCGTTCCAAAAGGTGTTCTTGATCCCATTCTTTTTAAGACAGCCTTTGTAATTTTGTGAAGCGTCATTAAACTATAAACAGTAATTAAAAAAATACAAATGCTATTTTCCTCTTTGCATTGTAAAAACAAAGCAACACACCTCTTTTCATGTGGATTATACATCCATGGAAGATTTTAGAATTAAACTAATTCTACAATCATTTGGCCAAACAATTCTTGTCATACTATTTGGGCATTTTTTTTTTTTTTTTGTGTGTGTGTGAAGATTTTTTATGAAATCTGTACAAAAGAATAACTGGAAATAGAAGTAGTTTGTTATTCCTACAAAATGGTCAAACAAAAACGTTTTCTAGAAGTGGTGTGGGGGAGATTTTTTTCTTCCAATATACAATATACATAACTAAATATGCTTTAGTATCTCATAAAAAAATATGTAGTATTTTTTTGTTTGATTTCTTAGATGAATTGTTAATATATTTTGATTTATTCAAACTATTTTCCTCATTTTTACTTGTCACTGACGTTATTATAAACACAACATTTTTGGCTCTTCAAGTGTCCATTTTTGTCTGATAAGGAATATCTTGTATTTTTTTTTTTTTTTTAATAATGTTCACTCTCATATAAGGCCCAAGGGTCACTCAAAGTAGAGGTTTATTAAAAGCAGTTGTACAAGCAGCAAGAGTAAGGGGTGCAGTTTATACAGGTATGTGTGAAAAATAATGGTTAACCCTAGACTTGTAAAGGTTAAGAGTTTAATGGTTGAGAAAGCATCCTACTGGGATTCTGTTCCACAACGCAACAGGTATAACGGACCAATCAAAATTTTTTTTAAAAATTCCTTGATGTATGTGGCCTTGTGTTGTCATGGAGGAGAAAAACATTTTTCCTATTAACAAATACTTTTCAACCAAACTTTTATGGGCACATTGCAGCTGCTGGATATATGAATGTGCATTTAGTGTTTCATAGCACTTTCAGAACAATAATGAATACCCCAGATAATACCACAGCACACATAATATTACCTTTCTTCTATTGGGGCCTGTTGTGGGCTTTTATTCTTGTTAATCTACTGACAATATGTTGAACATTGTCATATATAACCCATTTTTCATCACTTGTTATAATATACTTAAGAAATTGTTTGTTAGGGTGATACATTTGACATTACAATTGGTTCCCCAAAATGGAAATTACTTATTAGTCAAACTCAGAGATTTCTATGTTATTCTTAAAAAGTTAAATCAGATAAACAATGGCATATAGTCTGCATTCCTTGCAGAAGATAAAATCCACTAGTGTCACCATCCAGTTATAATGCAAGCCAAAAAATAAAAATGTCAGTATATTTATTATGATACTGTTCTTTTTTATTTTTGTATCTAGTCCTCTTGCCAGTGGCTTGGATAAATATCTGGAGCACATGGAAAGCGTTCTCAAAGCTGTCCGCTACTTTACTGACTATAATCCACTGGAATTAACTGAAGTGGTAAGTATGCACACACACACACACACACACACTTCTGATATGTACATTTATTAAAGTTTAAGTATAGGGCTAGCAACTCTATTCTACAAAAACTTACTTGCTACTGAAATTACAATAACACTCTGACAGTTTCTTTTCTCACACTTCCTGCCGGTGGAACTCGCTTATGTTTATTTACTTCCCTGATAACTGCAATCTTCAAAAATTTAAATGTAATGTCAGTCACCATCTTCTGTCATCTTGAATCCCATTCACCTTTTATCCTTTCCTCAATCTCACACTTTCTGTCATCTCCTGCGTATTAGTGGCATCCCCACCTTGCTTGGGTTGAAATGATAAAAAAACAAAAAAAACACTTCACTCCTGGGGAGGTGCTGTTGCATGTCTCCTGGTATATTTATCCCACAACAAAAAATGGTGGATTCAAATGTGTAATGCATGTCCGGGTAAAAATGAACAAAGTAACAAAACTAATATATATATATATATATATATATATATATATATATATATAAAGTAAGTATGTATTAACAAAACAAAGGTTTACATAGACAATAGAATATTGTGTGTGACAAAACAATGAACATGAATGAAGAAAACATTTAAGACGAGTGAAATGTGTGTGTGAAGTTGTGTAGAAGTAGTCCTAGAGAATAGTAATGGATAGTAAAGAGGAAAGTGATGGTGTACCTCTGTGTGCACGTACCCAGGTGTGGGCCACATTTCTTCATGTGGTGACTTATATCTTACCCTCCCCTGGATGAAATATAAAAGAGGGGATGACAGAGATTGTTACTACCTATTTATAGGCTTAAGGAGCGTCCTCTAGTGACAGTTTTTCTTTTTTTTAGGAAAGTAAGTGGAAATAACTCCACAAGCTGTATATCACAACAGGAATTTATAAAGAATAAATGATAGAATAATTTATAGATGCATTCTGCTATTGAGTGTTTAGAGTGAGAGAAATCTCAGTGCATTCCACTGTTTCTGTTATTTTTCTGTTATTTTTTAATTGAAGTATTGTCAATCCAATATTACATATCTCTGATTCAGATTTACTTTCGTCTTGATTTTCCAGTTGGTTTCTATTGCAACTGTACAACAGTAAATAGGATGGCTTTGAAATAAATAAAAAAAATCTAAAAAAGGTGTTGCAGTTTTATTGTCCTCTCTCTGTCATAGTAAATAATATTTGTTTTAAATCAGATTGATTATACTTTAAACCAGGTAATATTCCTCAAATAAAGCTTCAGAAAAGTATGTTTTATTTTTGGAAGATTTTTAATAAAGAGAGTTACATTGCAATAAACATAGGCTAAAAATGGTGCAAAATTCAAATGTTTTAACAAAAAAAATCTCCTCCCAGTCTTTTTAAATTAGTTTTGAAATAGAGCCAAGTATTTTGTTTATTGGAAATATTAAATTTAATCTATTATCTTGAAATGAAAACTGAAATAAAATCTTCAAGAAAGATTTTTCATTTTTAAAAATTCATTTTAAACCTTAGGTATCCTGAATTAGTGGAGGTACCTACCTAAAAGGTCTAATTTGTATTTGTATAACTGAAATAATGACTAGGTAAAAACCTGTCCCACAAGACTGGCTTTATCTAGTTAATCACCAGACATACAAAAAAAAATCTTTTCAACAAGACAATGGAAATATTCAATAATGAAAATATTGATTTATCAGAAAAATCATACCTTGTCCAATATGACATTGTCTTTTAAGCCCATTAACCACAAAATATATGGTTGAATAAATATTAAGTCAGAAATACTTGTGTTGTTTTCTACAATTTATAATTCATTATCTATTAAACAAAAAAAAAGCCAATGCTATCATTTAGGAATTTTGTAATGGTAATAATAGCCGTTTCCTTATAAGGAAATATTTGACATTCATTGACCAAGCAGCAAATGCTATTGTCAGTTGAAATTTTTAAAATCTTTCTCTTAAAACAGTTTTTCAGGAAAATAAGTTTCCCAAGCCCGGTAGCTGCTATCGTTCTTTTCAGTATTGATGGGGGCGGAGTCTTTCCTAACCTTTTGTTTGAAGTAGTATGCAATGTCGATATCTTGATTGTTATTTTCTCTTTGAGTTATATGTGATATCTATTTCGCTGCAGTCCTCAAGTGATTTTGTTTTTGTTCTCTGTGATTCTGTAATGCCAGGCCACAAGGTTTAAAGAAGGAGGGTCTTTGCTGAGATCTACATGTTTCATTTGCTCAAAGCCATTTTAGCCATTGATTTGAAAAAGTGGTTGTATACAGCTGACAAGTTAGATATTTCTGAAATGAGTTTGCCACCATGCATGACATCCATATGAAAGTCTCAATTTGATAATGCTATTTAAGAACATGAGATTTTAGATTATGTATTTATTTTTTGATTGAATTTCTTTCTTTTTAAATTTCTGGGATGAGGAATTATCATTATTTACACTTGTTTCCTTTGTTTTGGCCATTGTACCTTCTGACCTTCAAGTGTTTGTTGATCCAGATAACCTTCAGGGAATTTCTAACTTCCTTTACCAACAATGCTTCTCTGTTCTGACTGCTGCTGTTAAAGCCTTGCTGTCATTTCTCACCAGATATCACTAGATATGGACAATAGAATGAGAACAGTCTACTCCCCAATTTAAATAAAGGGTTGAGTTCAAAATTCTCTGAAGGTTAACCAGATTGACAGACACTTGAAGGCTAGAGAACACAATGTTCAAAAACAAAAATGAGGACATTAGTCCGAGTTTAAATGATAAAATTTATTAATTGATTAGCAATTACAGATTTCTGATTGAGACGAAACAAAGAGAAAAAATACCCAACTAGGTATTTATACTGTTGATACAACTATGTATTCCTGTCTTAATAGTGAGTCCAATAGGTCCAACACAGTAAAACTGCTCTCAAAAAATGACCTACAATCAGTTGTTAACTGGGGTGAGGAAGGACATGTAAATTTTAACACCACCAAAACAAAACTGCTATCCTTTAATCATCAGAGAAAATCATTTTTACCCTCTATCAGCATGGCTGAGGCTAACTCATTCCATTTTCTCATCCTGAGTAAGACGATAAACTACATCCGCATCCTGGATAAGACGATAAACTACGTCCAACAGCAAGGCCTCTGATAATATTTTTGAAAAAATAATATTACCAGCTATACATTTTTGAGGAAAAAATATTAACAGAAATAGATTTTTGACAAAACAAAAATATTACCAGGAAAAAAAAAAAGTTGTTGGCATTAAATGACCCATTGAGGTTGATATGCCATAAAGCAAACCAAACCATTTCATTTTCATGGTCTCACGTTTTCTACTGACATGAAGTGGAGCATTTATACTGAATCAGTTGCTAGGTCTCCTGATAAGAAGCTTCAGTTTTGTATCAGATAATCTTTCTTGCCAGAATCCATCTTGCACATTTTATAAATCTACCATTCATTCAGGCTTTGAATATTGCTGCCATATCTAATCTGGTGCTTCGACCATATATCTCAAGATTCTTGGCTAAATCCAAAGTACGGTCTGTAATATTATCAGTCCTGACATCTTTAGTTATTTTCCCACCATTGTGACATGGCTTCCCTCTGTCTTTTATATTTTCATGGCAGGAAGTTATAATAAGCTCTCCTCCTTAGTACTTCAACTACATGAATTTAAGCGCATTACTAGATTGGCTATTTGGTCTCATTGTCTTACTGTTGAAATAGCTAGATGTAACCCTGTTCTATTTTAATAGTTTCTTTTCTTGCACTTCTCACCTATGAAACTGTTCTCTGATCCCTACAATCTTCAAAACTTTGAATGCAAAATCAATTGCCATCTTCTGTCTTCCTGAAAATTGTTCTTTTATTATCTTTTCTCCTCACTAGATATCTCATTCTCTTGCACTCTCAGTAACCCCTTGCATCTTAGTGGCATTATTGCTTTGCATGAGGTGAAATGATAAAAAAAAAATACAATTCTTTGGCAAGAAATGAATTTTAAACATTTCAGTATTTAATGACTATTACCCAACATGTTGGACATCTGATGAAACAAAACCTTTTGCTAAGTTGTGAGTGATGTAAGACAAATGTTAGTCATATCATTTGAACTGGATATTTGCAAGCAAAATCAAGAAAGACATTGTTCAGATCACAAAAGTAAGTCAATAAAAATACAAATCAAATTTTTTCTCAGTAATTTTTTTTCTTTTTAGCCAAAAACAAATTACTTATTGAATTTTCTAAAATATAAAATTCACTCTCACCGATATTGAACTACTTTCTATTCTTACAAGCAGTTTATTTACAAACCGATGTAACTGACTTTATAAGCAAAAAAAATAAAATATCGGTTATTAGATTATACAAACAGGAAATATTTCATACCTGGAAATCAAAATAGATAAATAAAACTCTGCCTTTCTTGCATGTACTTATATATATATATATATATATATATATATATATATATATATATATATATATATTTTTTATCTATTACTTTTTTTTAGACGCGATTATTCCAAGATGGTAAAGAAGCTCTTGGGAAAGAGTTTCGGTCTCAACTGTCTCGATATGGCAAACCAGTTCCCCCCATCATTATCCTAGATATGTTAGGAACAGATGAAGGTGAGTAGATATTTTTAATACTGGAGTTTTTCTTCTGGCTTTTCTAATGTTAATTTTCATTCTGAGTAAATTGAAACCAGGAAATTATATATGGTTCTTGTTCTAAATAAGTGGTAAAACAATACAATAGACTACTCAACGCATCACTGACCTGTATACATAAACAGTCAAACAAAAACATGGCACATACAATCTCATGATGGCGTTCAAGCATGAAACACTGTCGCCTCTACGCGTTGACTTCAATGTGCACTTTTATATTTACATACAATCTATCTCTGATATTGAGCACTTTAACCCATAAATATAGCATACCAAAAAACTATATTTTATATATATATATATATATATATATATAAGGAAGTTCAATGACAAAGTGGAAAAAATGAGCGTAAACATCACTTTAGTCTGCAGTCTAGGAGGAAACGTGTCGCATGAAAAATTTTTTTTTTTCTTAACTTTTTTTGTGTCTCAGAACAATGTTAAGTCTTTTTCCCCATTTTTATATATATATATATATATATATATATATATATATATATATATATATATATAAAGTCAACAAAAATTACACCCATCCATTTTGAATATTTTTATCCATTTCTCAGAATCTAATACACCTTTGATACCAGGTTTTTATATGTTAATAAACACAAAAAAGGAATATAAAACTCAATTAAATAAATTATTTATGCAGTATGAAAAACAGAAAAAATTGACAATTTTCATGATATTAATAGTAGGTAGCATAGCCTCTCATCTTTATAATTTGCTGCAATTGTTTTCTAAAGTTTTTGATGAGATTTGAACAAGTCTTTTCTGGGATTTTTTTCAATTCTTCAATGGTCACACATTCCAATTCCTGAAGGTTTTTTTGTAACTGACAATTTATTTGAACTTTCAATTCTTGCCATAGATTTTCAGTAGGATTGAAGGCCATGGAAGACCTGGTAGTCTTTTTTTTTCTGAAGCTGCACAGTCACTGATTTAGACATATGTTTGGGATCATTATCTTGCTGGAAAGTAAATCACCAAATTAGATGAAGATGTTATGCTGATAGTTGTAGATTTTCATCCAGAATTTTGATATAGTCAGCAGATTTCATTCTTCCTCTTTTTGCAATTAATTGTCCAGTCCCCCTTGAGCTAAAACAACCACAAAACATCATCGGGCTACCTCCATGTTTTAATTTTGTCACTGTGTTCTTTTGGAGGAAATCCTCACCTTTTTTGTGCCAAATCTTCTGTACATCATTATGTCCAAAAAGCTCAATTTTTGTTTCATCATTCCATAGTACTTGTTCCCAAAAGCAATTTTCTTTATCCAAGAACGTTTTGGAAAAATTAAACTGAACAACAATGTGACATAGTTTGTGAAGAGCAGTTCATCATGGTCAGTTTCCATACAACCCATTTCTATTTAAACAATGTTGTATTGTGCAAATACTTACAGTGATACCTGTCCTATCCAAACCTTTGGCAATGTATTTCAAAACAACTCTTGGCTTTATATTAACCTTGCAACACAGTTTTTGTGAAGTTCTCAGTAACAATTTGGGCTTTCTTCCATGCCCAGGCAAATTCTCTATTGTGCCAAACTGTTTAAACTTCTTTATAACGGAATTTGCCATAGATCTCGGGATAGCTAACTGGTTTGAAATAGTACTGTAACTATTTCCTGGCTTGTGGAAGTAAATAATTCTCTGTCTCAAGTGAACGCTAAGCTCTTTTGTCTTCCCCCATCGTGTTGTCAATGTAAGAATAACAATGGTGACATTCTATGCACCACATGATCTTCTTTGTTGGAATTATCACAAAAATATTCTACTGAATAATTAGTCTAGAAGGCTTCAGTGATATAACAATTATGAAAAATAATTATACTTCCAAGAATCAATTTAAAACAATAATTTCTACTGTACGAATAATTTTATCATTTCCTATTTTGCATAATTTGCCTGTCAAATTTGTTGTATTTAACCTTTTGTTCTGAAAACTGAATTTTATATTCCTTTTTTGTGCTTATTAACATATAAAAAACCTGGTATCATACAGGCATTAGATTCTGAGAAATGGATAAAAATATTCAAAATTGATGGGTGTACGAATAAATTTGTTGTTGACTAATATATATATATATATATATGTGCAGGCTTGGTTGAAGAAGGGATGGCAAAGAATTTGACAAGTGTTTTTGCTAAATGACAACACCTGTCCTAATGTTGTAATGCAGCAAACAATCGTGGAAATTGGGTAGGAAATTTGTTAGGATCCACCTACCTTGATTTTTGTTGCTTATGTGAGGGTTAGGATTTCAAACATTTAACAACAACACATCTTTTAAATGAAAAAAATAAGTGGTTAATTTTTAGAAGAAAAGTAGAAACAGAACATCAGTTGAAATAATATTTATAAATTCTTTTCAGAAATATACAATAGCATTAAGATGTTTAATTTCCCTTGCAGTAAAGTTTGTTTTTTAAAGTAATTAAGTCTTAGTGCTGTGTAAAATATGTAAACAGACTTTATGTCAGTTAGCCTACTGTGTTTGTGAGTTCATAGACAAAGGCTTATTAGGTGGCTGCTGGTTAATTCCTTCTATTGTGTGTGTGGACAAGGCCTTAGTCAGTGGTTGCTGGCTGTCTATCCCTTTTATTGTGTGAGGGTGTGTGTAATCACACGTATATCAAACTGACCTCCAGAATTGTTGAGAGCCCTGTGAAGTAGTATGCTTCTATATTTATATCCATAAAGGAATTCAAAATAAAAGTGAACTTTTTGAATACAAGGTCTTCATTGATTGGAAAATAATTTCACACTGGCTCGCAAAAATCTTTTTCTCAAATTTGCAGCAGTGGTGAAGGGAGTTATTGTTATTTTTCTAAAGTTTCTCTCTGTCATAATATCCTATCTTTTAAGTTTCAAGTTTCAATTTATATGACAAATGTTTACATTTTTTAGTGCTGTGTGAGATCCAAGCTGAGAACTCTGACCTTTTGTTTGTTTAAGAATGTTACTTCCTGTTTTTGCCTTTCAAAGCTGGTGAGACTATTTGTACTTCTTGGGTATTTTAAATTTTACAAGTATCTTTAAATACTGACAAACTGCTTTTTATTACAAAACTCAAACATATTGTCACATCCTTCAATTTTTGCTGTGTTGTTAATTCCATATTCTATAGGAACATATGACTCCTGTCAGTTCAGGATATTGGCAGCCTTGGCTTGCCACAATTTCCTGTCCTATGTAGCTTTTAATAAATTTTCTATTTTTGTTAACTCTCTAAACCTTGATCCTCCATCTATTTAGCCAGGCTTGCTAGGTAGGTTATGCATAGTTTTCCTCTCTGGCCTTCAATATTTTCTGTATCAAATTTTCCAAGCCCTCTTTCACCATGATATGTCCTAGAAATTTCAACTGTCTCTTCTTGGTGTTATGTATGTGTCCTTTTTGTTTCCATTTTCTCTAAAACCTTGTTATTGCTCACGTGTTTGGTCCAAGGTGTTCACAACATTCTTCTATAGAGCTACATTTCTGTTGCTTCAAGTCACTTCTTCATCTGTGAGGAGATTGTCCCAGCATTCACTGTTATATAGAAGGACTGTTACATAACAATTTAGTACTCTTTCCTTTATTTTTCCTTACTGTTTCTTAATACTTTCCTAAACTTTTGTAAAACATCTTTTGCTATCCCAATGCTCCTTTGGATTTCAGTGTCACATTTTCTGTCCTCTCTTAAAACACTTCCCAGATATTTAAACTGTTGTATTTGTTTGATTTTGGTATCTCCAATTGGTATTTTACATGTTGGTCTGTTTCTTTTGCTAAAAGCCATGCATTTTGTCTTCTTGCTATTGATGTTTAGTCCTTTTTTCTGACCTTTTTTCCAATATCCTCTTTAGTAGTTTTTGTTGTTCCCTTTCTGTATCTGCTATTGGCACTGTGTTATTTGCATATTTTATGTTGTTACCATGGCTAATGAATAATGAATCCTGGTATAACTTTTAATTCTCTTAGAATCATGTCGCTGTATAGGTGAGAAGACACATCCTTGTCTTACAGGGGATAATTAATAGAGATTGTATGTTGCTGTCAGTTGCCATTAACTTTGTTGTGCAGGTTATGAAGCATTGACCTCATTTAAAGTGAATGGAACATACAACATAAATATATATAAAAAAAATATCAAATATAGCACAAAAGTCTTTGTATAAGAACACTTGCGCATATATATATATATATATATATATATAATTTGAAATTCTTAATACAAAGTGTCTACAATGTGTCTACTCTCAAAAGACTATGTACCCAAAAACAATATGAATTTTTGTACTTATCTGTTTGGTTTGTCACGAATATGAAATGCATGCGTCTTGATACATTAACTTCCAGGAGCAAAAGAGAAAAATTCACTTTCCCACCTAATGATGTCTTGTACAGGTCTCATCAGGTCACATGACTGTTTTCTTTTCTCATGAATATTTCGTATTATTTGCCATTGTCATAACTTTTTGTCTCTTGCTACAAGTCTTTGAAACATTAAAAAGTTCAATATCAGCTGCCTATGTAACCCAAACATCATAAAACGTTTATAAATTTTTGTTTGAGTTGTTTATAACAGCAATAGCATCAGCATAGCTTGAGTTTAAAAGATGACCACTAATAAAAAAAATCAGAGATACATTCTAATTTGGTTTTCAAAATTATCTACAGGCCTAGATGTTTTGATATGTCTTTATAGCTGTTGTCACATTTTCATTAACTTCAGATTTTATTTCTCTCTGAGTTTTCTTTCATCAACAAAGGGACATAATTAGGCAAAACCTGTACTATTTAACAGAAAGCACATTCACTTGAGGTAGGCAGGCTTACAACCATTTCATGGGGAAACATCACTTTCTGTACATTCACTGAAGTTAAGCAACATTGAGCCTAGTCAGTACTTAGATGGGTAACCAGTAATGGATAATAGCTTGGAATTGTTAATTGGCAAGCTAAATTCCAGTTGGTTTCATTATATTCACTTATGCATGAATACCCTTGGAAAATGCATGAATTCTTCTCTTCCCCAGCTATGGGTTAATTAGTAAGACTTGTATCACTAACTCATTCTTATCTTAAAAAAAAATTTCTTGGAATCTAAAAATATTTTCTGGTGTTAAATAACCTGCAAAGAGTTTGTTGGGGATGTGCAGAATTAATTGTAATTGAGAGAATCAGAAGGAATTTGTGTAGGTTGCGTGACTTTCTGCATCCACAAACAAATAAATAAACAAATTTTAAATACAATCAAAACCAAGACATATTCAATTTAGAAACCAATAAAACATTTATATACAATTAAAAGTAATATATATACAGGATATTTTGGTATATGTTACTATGGCAAAGTGTGTGTGATATTTGAGGTTTCAGTATGTCTCTCTTAGTATTTGTATGTTCATTTACAGTCTTTCTGGAATTGTGTTAATATTAAAGATGTTGATATTAAGTGTTTTTAGGAATGAGTTCTTATGGAGTGATCTACCTTTGACTAATATTTCTGAATCGTTCGAACGTTGATTTTTACTTAATATGTAGTGAACGTAACTCACTTTGGATAAGCAAAGTTGTTTTAGGTTTGCGATTTGATGTCTACAGAGTTGGTCGAGTTTAAATTGTAAGTGAGTCAGCGTTGATGTGCTTTTGTGCGGTAAAATTGTGATTTCGAGTGACGTGGAGTATATTGGCAATTTCTCTGTGAATGTTCGTCTCTGACTGCTTTGGTCAGTCAGCGTTTTCTTTTGTTTTGAAAGTCCAAAATTGGCTCAAAGAAGTTTTGCTGCAATTTTGTTTTGCACGTGAAACTTTCAGATTATTATGTCGTTAACCAATGAGATTTGTTGATTCGTCTAGTACGGTTTTCTGTTGGTCGAAGTTTTCCGTACGTAGGCGTAAGATGTAGACTGTTCTGTTACTAGGGGTGATAGGTAGGAAAGGACGAGTCTACAAGTTGATAAGCCATAGAAAATGAATTAATTATTTAGTTGAGAAAGACTAGAGATTGAACCTACCAAAACACAAAAAAAATAAGATAAGGAAAATAAACAAAGAAAATCATTTAATAGTTTGCATTCTTTTAGTGTTTACTCTTTAATCGCTTAAAGGCACCTCATATCGCTGAAGAACTTAACTCCATCTGCTATGTTTAGACAATAGACAGATTAGACTAAGAATGGAGCATTACTGCTATGTCTGGGCTGCGCAAACATCATTTTCCAGCCTTGATCATGTTCAAAGTCGTCTACTTGGCCTTGTGGTGGCGAAGCAGGTGACACATTTTCCAACCTTCAACCTCTTTCCCACATACACAACATTACAAACCTATCACTATTTCCATGGCAAATGTTCTGATGAACTCTATTTTTTAGTTCCAACAGTTCAGACCTTTGCAGCTAAAACCCACCATGCTATGTCCATGGAGTTGAATCACCTTCATTCTCTTCTGTATTTTAATTGTAAAGCAGAAGTTCCATTCTGACAGCTTTTTTTCTGCAAGAACAGTTACTTTGTGGAATGCTATAATCTTAACTTCTTCAAGTCAAGGGTCATTTATTATGTACCCTTCATATCTTCATAATCTTCACTCTCTATCCTATACTCTTAGATTTATATAACACACTGCATCAGTAACTCTACCTTGAGCAGCTCTTGAAGCTTTAATGTGTGAACATGAGGTATAAAAAGGGAAAATTTCGAAATTTTTGAGGTTATGCTGAAATTCATAAAATATATGTCTGTTTTTTCTGTTTGCATAAGTTTTTTGAAAAAATATTAATGATTCAGCATGAACAAAAAAGACAAAATTAATTATATATATATATATATATATATATATATATATATATATATATATATATATACATACAGGATTGCATCTCAAGCCTTGAATGGTGACCTTCCTATTGTGTCTCAATAAAAACACTCCGTGGACTTGAACTTTGTGTGAGTTGGGTGTCAGAAAGACCATTCGGCCTTGTAAATCCTTGTCTCAAATCAAAACAAATCCTTTGTCAGACATGACCTACCTTGCTTTGTTCAAGATTAATCCTGGTCCTGTCTCAACTAAAAAACATGGCTATGTATATATGCACGTATCTAATGTTTGCCTTAGTTTTTCAACTAGATTTTACCTTTGAAAGATAAGTGAATTCAAAGATCTAGAATGTTTGTCCAATCTTTGCAAGGGAATGTTTTTTATCATTAATATGTCTACATAAATACACATACAGTCATATGTATATGAGCATAAACACATAGTAAGTAGTTTTGGATAAGAAATTGTGTATTGTATAAATGTTACAAACCATAAAAATCCAAACACTTCTTTTTTTGTTCTTTTATTCTATATGTTTATTTATTTTTAAAAGGTATAATAAATGTTAATTTACAAATATAGTTTTGAGAAATTCTTCCTAATTCTTGAAGTTTGACTGGTTAAGCCAAGTGGTGTCAAAAATGCTTTTGAAAATGACTAGAAGCTAGATTTCTTTTCATTTGTTTTATTTCTGAAAAAAAGAAAATTAATCATAATTTTTTTTTTTTTTTTTTATATGTCTATCTGTATTGTTTCTCTGCAGAACTCCAGTCAGGCAATGGGGAGGTCATAGTAATGGAACACTTGCCAGAAAAAGTTGCAAAGGAACTTGGAGAAATTGCTCGCTGGCTGGTTACCAACGGCAACACAACAGATTTCCTTAATGTTTATACAACTTCCAGATCTGGAATACTCGTCCGATCTTTGCAGGGGTATTGTTTTCTTATATCATCAATACACACATCTGTATATATGAACATCCAAATGTACAGTCTCTTACCCAAAATTTTGAAAAGTGTCAAAACATTTTTTTGGCACATGGAAACTTATTTTGGTCAAATATGACCTGATAGCACACATAACCTGACACAATCTTGGGTCCCAAGAAAATAAATATGCCAGTATACTATACTGATATCTTATTTAGCATAAAATTGAGGTTAATTTACTAAACCTTGACTCTGTGTTTTCTCTAGTCATTATGAATGGTGCCTTTGAATGTATATTGAGTTTAAATTTCATTCTAGAAATACTAGAAATACTGGTACTTCTCTATACAGGCTGGATGAAAAGAAACTCTCGATTTGAAATTGTTAATAACTTAATTATTTCATCGATTTTCATAAAAAATATTTTATTTTGAACAGTATAATGGTAGAAGTAAAGTACAGTTGAAATTCTACAGAGGCACCAGTGTTCTTCACTAGTGTTTGTAAACTTCTGAGTATATCTTCGACTGATGTCATTTCCTGTACCTTTTGCACATTTACTTCCAATCTGAATGTTGAACGCTTCTGAGGGTATCTACCACAGATCTACGCTATTGCTGTTTATATGGCAAAATCTTCAGATGATCTCCATTCCTTAGTCAGGCCTTTTCAGTTAAGACTCACCATACATAGGGTAAAATCCTTCTTATTCTTTTGGTATTTGATTAGTAAAGACAAAGTTCTATTTAGTTTCTTCCACAGAACTATTACTTTGTGGAACACTTACAAGAGAATGCTTTCCTGATTACTATGATCTTAACCTTTTCAAGTTTAGTTTCAATCATTTTCTATCCTACATTTCTCCATAATATGCATTTCTTATTCCCTCCCTTGACACCCTTACAACAACCTTACTCAGTAACCCTCTACCTTGAGTGTTTCTTGCGCCTTGTATTGATGAGCAATAGTATAAAAAAACAAAAATCAGTTGATTTTTTTTCGTCTGTGGATTGAATACTGCTGCCATATCTGGTCTGATGCTCCTATTATATAACTCGAGATTCTTCACAAAAATCAAGAAAGAGTTTGTAATGTTATCAGCTCTGACCTGTCATCTTGATTTCAATCATTTTCTCATTGACATAACATGGCTTCTCTCTGTCTTTTCTACAAATATTTTCATGTCAATTTCTCTGATGAGGTTTCCTCCTTGGTGCATTGACTTCATGAATTTAAGCGTGTTACTAGATTGGCAACTAGATCTCACCATTTTACTGTTGAACTAGCTATAGATGCAACCATATGTTTTAATTTCTTTACTAGAAATTCTCACTTTGATTTTTTGCTTCCCTGCCTACAACCTTCAAAAATTTAAATGCAATGTCAACAGCCATTTTCTGTCTTCCTGAATCATTTTTCCTCACTAAAGTCTTCTCATTCTCTTTCACTCCCTGTAACCACCTGCATCATAATGGCATTATTGCCTTGCTTGGGGGTGAAATGATTATATAAAAATGTCCATCAGTGAATGGTACTTCAGTTTCTCAGTGAAGAATTGCAATTTTCATAACACTTAGACAAATTAAATGCTTATTAATTTAATTCAGCAAATGAATTTTAATGATTTTTATGTCTGTTACAGTTTGAAAGAACATTTAAAATCTGCCAGTGGGAGCAGTAATTCTGGTCATTCGCAACACTCACCTGCTTTGGTAAGTACAAGATTATAAATGTTTACATAAAAGTGAACCCCAAATCTATGTTTCCAAATTAACAAAGGACTGCAGACCAAAAATAGAATTCAGTACTGTGCCTTTATAAACAAAGGAAAGAAATTCTTTACAAGTGTCTTTCTATAGCTGGAAAAAAAAATCAGTGTTTTTTTCATTTACTGGACAAAGTAGCAAATACGATCTTTTTATTTTTATATTGTATGTTGTTTATTTTATTTTTATTTCTTTTTATTAACCCATCAGCCATTAGACCAAAATAAGCAAACACACAAGAAGTAAAAGATCTAGCAAAGAGCAATGGAAACATGCAGAAAACAGGTATAATTGAAACATTGAATCAGAAAAGTGTTTAAGACGGTGGAAAAGACACATTGTATATAAATACAATTACTATCTGCCATTGTAATTAAAATATATTTTCATCTCCTTTTTGAAGACATCTAAAGTCTTCACATTGTTGAATGACAAAGAGTGTTCCACTCATTCCCTACCCGCTGTGAAAAATGATTCTTAGCAACACTTTGCAGGTTATTTAAAGTCGGAATATATTTTTAGGTTGTAAGAACTTTTTTTTAGATAATAATGGTTCAGTGATATAAGTCTTACTAATTAACCCATAGCTGGTGGGTGGAGAAAAGGTGGATTCATACCTTTCCCAAGGGTACTTGTGTGTAAGTAAATATGACAAAACTGACTGGAATTTGAACTCAGCTCTTGGATTAATAATTCTGAGCCATTATCCATTACACCACTCGCACATCCAATCTTACAGCACCTAGTTAAATTTGTGGGCAGGAGACAGGCTAGATATTACAGGGTGTAAAGTATTTGCTAACAAACTAAGGAACAAAAGAACAAGCAGAATTAAAATATGATGGATTAGCACTTCTGCCAATGATCAAAGTGTAATATCTGTGCACTCTGAAAAGATGTGTAGGCAGCAAAAATTCATCCAAACAATTTTTATTAAATTCAACCCTATGACGAAAGATATATTTAAGTCAGTTGATTATTTTGCATAATGATAACTTTGAGTATTTTCAACCTTTACAGCAAATGCTGTATAATATTTTAATATTATCTACTAATTTTTGTTTTGAATATGCATGTCGTGTATTGGTTATTGAGGCAGAAAGTAGAATGGATGAGCAAAGTCCAACCTAATATGATGCATTCACTTTTGCACAAACACTCTTGAAAATTGCATGAATCTATTTGTTCTCCACACCAGCTATTGGTTAAATAGCAAGGTAGACTAGGTTTTTATAGTCTTAGATGGTAACTTGTCTAAGTAAAGGAAAACTCTGAATTACAGTGGAGAAGGAATTGGAAATAATTTCACTATCTTTCTCAATAAGGTATGGCAATCCATAGATAATAAAAAAAAAAAAAAAAAGAAAAAATGAAGGGATTTATGGAGAGCCATGATTGCTTACATCTTGAACATGCAGGTTACTTAAAAAAAATGTTTGTCTTTTGTTAATAGTCAAATTTTGGTTTAATTGTGATAAGATGATTGACATATGTATGAACTGCAATAACTTTTGATAAGTGGTAAGTTAACTTACTTATCCCTTTTTTTTTATTATCTATGGATTGCCATACCTTATTGAGAAAGATAGTGAAATTATTTCCAATTCCTTCTCCACTGTAATTCAGAGTTTTCCTTTACTTAGACAAGTTACCATCTAAGACTATAAAAACCTAGTCTACCTTGCTATTAATGTTAGAATTTAATATTGTTTTTATTAGTGTTGGAGATGCATTCTTTCAAAGGTATAAAATTCATAAACAATCTTGATTTATATATGAATGATTTTTCAGGTCCCATCTTACTGGCATTTTATGTATTTAAAAAAATTCAATAATATCTTTGTTTTCAAATACTGTCAAGTTTTGCAACACCTAACAAGCTAATTTAAAAAAAAAAAACAAAAAAAACTTGGTGTCTCTTCTATATGATATACAAATTAGAAATGTAGCATTACTAAAATGCTAGGATGAAGCTAATTAAACTTTTCTCTATGGCACTGATAAGATTAATGTTCCTGCTAATAACTAGAGATAGTAGAAAGTACTCAAATGAAAAAAATATGTACTTTGGATAATTTTTCCACAAATCTCATCTAGATGTGTGTCAACTTAAACACAAACTGGAAAAATTTCACAAAAAATTAAGCAGATCTTGTAAGCTGATTTTTTTTTAATAAAATTTGCTTATAATATAAAGGGAGTACTAAAATATCATAATATTCAAGCTCTGGTTATGGGAGTGAATGACATCATTCCATCATAGTTGTGAGTACAATTCTTGGGTTGTAAATAGTGCAAATGGTTGCCATTTTTGGATTAAAACAAATTGTAATTTTGACTTAATTTATTGATATTTTATAGGAATTTTTTTTTTAATTGTATCATTGTATTGTTTCATTTTCATTGTTTGCAATAAGTTTTAGGCATTAATATTATTTGAAAAAAATAATCATAAGTAACTCATTCAACTAGTTACAAACTGTGCTGTTAATACAGCAGAAAGCTGGAATAATGGATATGCCTCTTGCTTGCTTACTCTTACTTAAGTTGGAAGTTCATATCAGGGCTGGACTCGTTTTATTGTATGCATAATTTGCTTTTAATGTGACAAAAATTATTGACATACAAGAAAAAGAAACATACTAACAGAACATATTACACTGTTTATTATGTGGATAGACTTAATTACTAGTTTTATATGATCTTATTGCTGTTTTTATTCACAGAAGTTTGTATTTGACTGTATTTGAGTGTGTATTTGACTGCCAGAGAAACAGAAGACCATTAGAAATAAAGTGGCTAAAAAGAAAAGAATAAAAGAGACCTTATCCCAGCAAAAAAAAAAAATATTGGATAATTTTAAAGCATAAAAATAATTCCTAAAAATGTATATATTTGATTGCTTTTGTTTTCAGAAATTTTACCCTTTAATCTTGGTAACTTCCTTGTATTGGTTGGAGTAAATACACATAGAATTAATATAATTATATTGGATGTGTTATATGTTTTATTCTTTTTCAATTAGACTATATCCATTTGCTTAAGAATATCTATATGTTGACTGATTTTAGACTGGTAAAATTCGTCCAACTAAAGAAATGGCGCCTTGGAAAGCACTGAAATTCCCTGGGTGAGTTTAAATTTCCCTCTTAATGCATGTTTGTTTCTTTTGTATTTTTGTTTTACAGGATTTTCTTCAGTTTGATTCAGATTCAATATTTTTAACATTCTTAAACTCCATCTTGTAAAATTATGTGTCATCTCCTAAATCTCGATTTCCTTTTCTTTTTTTTATTTTGTGTATGTGTTTTAGTTTTCACTCCAAGTTAGATATAAATACAAAGATTGCAGTAAAGAGGTTATTGTAAACTAGCTTAAAACCTACACTCTGCAGACTTTTAAGCTGTAAAGGGCTAATTGGGCTTCCAGCACAAAACTAAAGTGACCTCTGGTCTAGCCTTGAAAACAGCAATAACAATTTTGAAGAAATAACTATGAATTCCTCAATTCACTCCATGGGACTTGAAAACCTCACTTTAACTCTTGATTCTGACCAAAAGATTGATTTGAACCAAAAATCAAATTCAGACTGAAAATTGAGTTCTTCAAGTCTTAAACTCCCTGGAATTTCAATTAAGTTGAGTTCTTCAAATTACAAACTCTGCAGAACTTCAAAACCTCACATCATGATTCCTTGACATTTTCAATAAATAAGATTAATTACCTCAATTCATAAAGTTTTGGAGATATTTTAAACTGAATTTAAAACAAAGCATTTTTATTTGCAATTAACTTTTTACTTTTACTTATTCACATTATTATTATTATTCTTTTTTTTTTTTTTTTTTTTTTTAATGCAATTAGTTTTATGTGTACTGCCCACAGGGATATAGCACTTCATCAGCACATTGCTAATTTTCAGTATTTTGGAAATGTTCATTAATAAATGTAGACAAATTCTTTAATCCTAAAAATGTTAAGCTCTACATTTATTCAAAATTATGATTCAGACATTTGAATGGCCAAAAATTATGATTTGTCTCTATCATCCTAATGATTTTATTTACCTGACCTTCCCACTAAGGCAGGATATGACACAAGGTCTTTTTATGTTGGGAGCCCATGCACGTATATATGGACCAGGGACAAAAATTGCCATTGTTGACATCAATGTTATACCACCCACCATGTCTTTTATTGCAATGAGGAAGGTGTTGCTGCAGGGTTGGAATTGCCAGAATCAGATGCCTTCTCCCATGTGAGTAGAATAGATATATTGCTTTGATCCTGGCCTGAAGGCTGAAAAGTGATCTATCATCCTAATGCTTTTACAATTTCAAACAATCCTTACATGTGCTGCTACGATCATCAAAAATGTTCAAGGAAGTTTTCTTCTTTTTTTTTTTTTTTTTTTTTCATATTGAGATGAGTATAAAAAAAAAAAAGAAGCTATCTCTTAATTGCTATAGCTCAAGAAATGTTGAACACTCAGATATCACTGTTATATTTTCATGGCTGCTACTCAAGCATTAATAAGGCTTTCTGATGCTGCTATACAAAGAGAATATAAATCTTGTAAATTATAATGAACATCTTAAAATTTTTATCTTGATTTTTGAAGTGAAGAAGAACATGATCATGATGATAACAATGATGATAATGCTGCTGATTGACTCAACCTCCATATAAAGTCATATGCACTTATTCAGTTGAAGGAAAAGACAAGTAATAGGTTTAAGGCTTTGAGTCCCCATCAGTGAATTGTCTGAAGGAGAGAAGAATTGGTTAAGTGAATCTATTACCTGTTGGTTGTTATAGTATTTTAAGACTAGTAGGATAGGGACCTATTACAGATATCCAAAGAAAAGACAAGATGAGTTAAAGACCTTTAATGTGCATGAGAGACTGCCCAAAATATCTGCTGATCCATCTATCCTGCATATATGCTATATTTATGACAAAGAAAGCTCTGGTTATGGGAGTGAATGACATCATTCCATCATAGTTGTGAGTACAATTCTTGGGTTGTAAATAGTGCAAATGGTTGTATACTTTGATTTAGTGGAAGAGACAAGCAATATAATGAGGATAGAATGGACTGATCTGTTCTCTGGCATGGACATTAGAATGAGAATAATTTACCCTTGTGGTTAAAGGGTTTGATTTGAAATTCCCAGAAAGTTACAAAGCTATGATGGACATATGAAGAAGGCTGAAAATACCAATAAATTAAGTCAAAATTATAATTTGTTTTAATCCAAAAATGGCATCATACTCATCAATAATTAGTCTAAAATCCAAGAGACAGAGAGGATTATTTATATATGGATAAGAAATCTCTTAACAGTTCTAAAAAAAACAAACTTTTCAGCACCCCTTTTATATATATATATATATATATATATATATATATATATATAATTGGTAAAACCAAAAGAAAGCCTGTTAGATGACCAATGAAAAACTTTAAAAAAACTGAAGAAACAAAAAGAAACAAACAAAAAAAGTAGAACATTGTGACTATAACAACCAAAATGAGGATACTAGTTTGAATAAATCAATGTATAATATTTTAAAAATTGCATTGTTTTTAATTTATTTTCATTTAAAGACATGTTTACTCAGTTGGGTTTGAAAAAAATGCCAGGGCCTTAGACATCTTGGATTTGTCCACTGACTGTCCAGCATTTGCTATTTTTCATAAAATTTATTTTTTTCATTGTGAATTATTAGTGATTTGTTATTTTGGTATTTATTTCACTACTCACTACAAAAATTAATTTTGAAGAAAATAACATCTTTTATCATTCCTACCAGATATCTGAAGAAAGCTTCCACGTCTCTCATCAAGTCACCTTTTGAATCAGGTGAGTTCTTTGTTTAGGTTTCTGATTGGCTCACCTGTCAATAAAATCTAGTAAGACTTATTACATTCTCACCTGTTGTTTGTAAGCAAATTGACTAAAAACAAAAGATGTTCCCAAACAAGGGAAACACTTTAATTATATTTACCTAGTGGACCCTTTTTCAGTTCATAAAATTAAAGGAGGCAGCTAGATTCTGAATTCAAAATAATATTGAAGGCACCTGTGAAAGACTGACACTACAGAATCTTCTTCAAAAATTAATGTAGTCTTTATTAATCATTCAAACAAGTACCTACATTGACCACCTAAGTAGAACTCTGCAAATTGTACCCTGTTATTTATTTAGTTATTTTTTGAAAGACACACATTGTGGACTCTGTAGTTTATCCAGTAAAATTTCTTTATCATTGTTAAATTTAGTAAGAACTTGTGCTTTGTTATCTGATGGTTCAAAAGTGAAGATAAAACTGTCATTTTTTAATGCTGTGCCTCTTCAGGAAAATAGGGAATTATGACTCTGAATGGATTCATTTTTCTTCATTACCTGTGGATTGTCATAACTTCTTGGGAAAGATATTAGAGGGATTTCCTCATTCCTCTTCTGACAGTTTGAAATTCAGCTTTCTTTCTCTAGTCTACCCTGATATTTAACCCATATCTAGGTGGAGAAGAGACGGATTAATGCCAGTTTCCAAGGGTATTTGTGTGTAAACACAGGAAGCTAGGCTGGAATTAGAACTCATCTTGCTGATTTCACTTTTCTGTGCCAATACCCACACATTAGTTTGGTCTGAAATCTTTTTTTTCAGAAAATCTTTATTAGAAGAAATGATACCATTTACATTATTCAGGCTATTGTCTTCATCTTTATAATAAGGAGTGCCAGAGAAAAGCGATAATAATAACAAAAATTGCAATATGAGCCCTGGTAAAAACATGTAATGATAACAGCAAAAATTGTAATATGAGTACTGGTAAAAAATGTGACTGAAGACATTAAGTTTATAATACCCAGAAATTCATACACAGATGTACTCAAGGACACATGACACAGTGGATAAAGGCGTTGGTTAGATCCAGTGACAGGACCCAAAGAGTGTGAGCTTAATACCTGGTTAAGGCAGTGGAGAACTTGGTAAGGTTAATTAACAGGAAATAACTGATAACTGACATCTATTAGACATGGCACGTGGAATTAGAACAGCCTACCCCAGTGAGCGAAATAAAGGGTTCAGTTCTACATTCCAACCACCTGAAAAAGGCCGAAGTGTACAATGGCCGAAACGTTGTGATAAATATGGCAACAAAGATGAGAACAATAGTCTGAATAATGTAAATAGTGTACATAATACCTCATCTCAGTAATATAGACAGATACAGAAATGACACCATGTGACTCTTTGGTAATATAGAAAATGTTTCTCATTATCTTACAAGAAGAGTGCTTATAGTGTAAACTTCTAGACCAGTGATTCTTGACCTTTTTTGCCCAGTGCACATTTTTCACCATAAGTTAGAATGTCCAACTCAAAAGGGGGATTCCAAATAATATGCATATAATATTAAAAATCTTCTTTCTTTTCCATATTAGTACATAGACATTTAAATGGATTATTTTTATAGAGGAGTTTTACAAATTTAATAGCACTAGAATAATGTTGATAGATTTTGAAACTTGAATACATGTACAGTAATTTGTTATAATTCACAACTCCTTATTAAATAATCTGAAGTATGCTTCAATAAACAAAAAGTTCAATAGGATGCCAGGATATTGGAACTCAGTAAACAAAATTCTGGAAATAAAAAAAACAAGAAAATGTGAAAGGTTCCCCATTCTAAAAACCTGATCCCCTACACACACACACACGGAGGGGAATTCAACCCTAGTTGAGAACCACTTGAAATGTTAAGTATGATATTTTTCTTTGTATTGCAATTCCTGTCTAATTTCCCTATTGAAATCATTAACAATGCATTTACATATTATATATATATATATATATATATATATATATATATATATATATATATATATATATATATAAAATGATAAAATATAGTTTTGCAGTATGCTATATTTATGGGTTAAATTGAGGATAGAGTGTATGTAAATATAAAAGTGGACATAGAAATCAACACCCAGCAGCAACTGTTTCATCCTTATACACAATCTTCAGGCATGATGATTACGTATAAGCATGAAACAGACTGTCACCACTGGGTGTTGACTTCAATGTCTACTTTTGATTGTATGTATGTATCACTATATATAATACAGGGTGCTATGGGTAAATTGTCACTATTTTATATTTTTAATTTCATCCATATGTTGTCTGTTTTTGATTTTGTCAACTGCACATTATAGTATGATCAGTTAGGCATTGTCTTTGAGAAAAAGAGCACCATGATGCAATTTACTCCACCAAAAATTTGGAAACAGCATGCTGTACTGATTGGCATTCATGCTGGAAGATCTAATATGAACATTTCAGAGTGTTTGAGTATCAACCTGAGGACAGTGCAGAGTATTTGGAAAGAGTTGGATAATATATCCAATCAGCATCATCATGGTGTTTGGAGTGATCTCTAGTGATGGTGATATGATGCCTCCATTCATCTTCCCACAGAGCCTCAGACTCAACACAGAGGCCTTACATCAAGTGCCTTGAGGAGGTAGTATTACCCTGGGTCAAGAAGGTGCCTGCTGGAAGAACCTATGTCTGGCAACAGGACTTTACACCATGCCACACAAGCAGAACCTAGTCATTTCTGCAACCACATCACCCCTTACATCTGGCAACCTAATTCTCCAGACGTCAAGCCCATTCATTATTATGTGTGGAGCACAGTTGTGAAAGAGGCCAACAAAATCTCTGTAAGACCAAAGATGAACTGAAGGCAAGGATTATGGCAGCATCCACCAACTTAAACAAGCAGACTGTCCAGAAGAGCTTGTGTGTGTGTGTGTGTGTGCGTGTGTGTGTGTGTGTATATATATATAAGTCCAATTCTGTCAATAATGCTTATATTAATTCCTGAACATCAACAATGTCTTATTTTTTCCAAAAACTGAATTCAGAATTTTAATGCACAATGACTATTGCTGTTTTGTTTTGAAAAATATTAATTTTTTGAGATTATTTACAAAAACTTTTAGAAGAAAAGACAAAACATGATTTTATTCTTGAAAGAAGCTGTAATTTAAGTGATGATTTATTCCCTTTTCTTCTTTATTTGTTATGTTTGTAAAATTCTTTTTCCTGCAGGTCATCGTCGCACAGGCTCATCTACAGAAGGTGTGAAGGAAGATCCTGCTGAGATTGAAATTGAATTCTATATTACAGAAATGACAGCTCTGCTCAAATTGATGCAGGTATGTTTATAGGATTACTACACTGGTCCCTATCTATCTCTATAATCTCAAATGTCTGTGGCTTATGGCCATATCACATTGAAACACCAATTCTCATACTATCAGTGAAGTTAAGCAACGTCATACCTAGATGAGTGACTGCTTGAGAATACCAAGTGCTGTAATCTTGGATGTGTGGGTAATGTATTAATGGATAGAAGTATTAATTGGAGAGACCAGTTCTTATTCCAGTTAGGTTTATTATATTCACTTATGTGCAGATACACTTGGAAAGGTATGAGCCCACCTCTTTTCCCTCCAGCTATTGGTTAATTAGTAATACTTGTATCCAGATCTACAAAGAGCAATTATTGTCAACGTGGTTTGTTTCTTTGATTAGAATGAGTTTGTTTTTGTAGTTACTCCTGTATTTTCTCAGCAAGGTGATGAGAAAGAATATGAATGGTTGATAAGCCATAGAAAACAAAACAATCGACCGTCATTTTAATAGTTTCTGCAAATTACATTTTGTATATTCACTGTAAATGTGATGGTCACACAAGTTCATTCAGTGTTATCTCACTGCTGATTGAAAAACTCCACAAGAGAGTATCTGTTTATGTGCAGAAAAGTCTCTTTTGAGTGGTTGTCAAGTTACATCAAGGCCATGCAATTGGTTCTCAAGATATACAAAATGGCTGAATACTTTCAGGACAAACCCTTTGTTTATCTCTTAAACATCTTTTTGCTTTATATTAATGTTCTTAATATAAAAAATTCTGTTTTTCAGAGTGAAGCCCAGCTCATGAATGGAATAATTCCATCAAAATACCAAAGAATGGAGTTTGACAAAGTTATTCTGCAAGCCTTGGAAATGGTGGTCAGTGAAGGAGAGGTCTGTATTGATCTGATTATCACAATCAATAAGTTGCCTGCTTATATATTGAATTTCAGTTTCTATATTGCATAAGGAACAAATCATTTTCTTAACAAATATGATGGTCCTTTACAGTGGACTAATGTCTTCATCTTTAACATTTGAACTGTTGTACCATCAGCCTTTTTCAGGTGTCTTTTAATCCAAGTAACCTTCAAGGAATTTTGAACTGATCCCGTTATTCAATCTATGGGGGTGGATTGATCTGGATATCTCATCTTGTGCTAATTTAGTACTTTTTAGTTATTGCTAGTACTGTTTCCACTAAGAGTTAAAACATTGGTTCATGAATTTAGTAGCATAGTAATTGTGAGTTCAATCCTTAGTCTGGGTAGTACAGATTCAGACAAAATAATACTAGCAATAATACAGCAGTACTAAATAATATGTACTTGAAGGTCACAGATCACTTCACATATCTGGGCTCTACCTTCAGCAACAACCTATCACTTGACATGGAAATTGACTGACCCATCACCAAAGCGGCAGCATTGATGACTAAATTGAACAAGAGAGTATAACACAAGTCAGCTGACCTTGCACATTAAACTGAAAGTATTCTAGACATGTGTCCTTACTATTCTGCTTTATGGCAATGAAACTTGGACGACATACATGAGGCAGGTAAACCACCTGGATAACTTACATCTCCACAGCCTACGGTGTATCCTCAGTATCACATGGAGAGAAAAAGCTACCAATATTGCTGTGTGGGAGCATGCATCTTCTTTTCTGTTGCCATTGTCTTTGATGGCTAGGTCACATACATCAAATGAATGATGGCTATATAGCAAAAGACGTCCCATGTGGTGAGCTGGCCATAGGAAACCGTTCGGTAGGACACCCTGCACTATGTTTCAGGGACGTTTGCAACAGGGACCTGAAATTTGTTAGCTGGGAACAGCTAGCAGATGATCACAGTGGCTGGTGCCATAATGTTTACTGTGTCATGACAAGTGTGGGGGGAAAAAGCGAAATCAACTATTAGAAATTAAAAGACAACTCAAAAAGTAGAGAAGGAGCAATCTCAGACCTTTATTGCACATTCCAGCTTCATCTGTCACACCTGTAGAAGAGAGTGCCATGCAAAGATTGGACTGTTAAACCACTACAGATAAAAGAACTGAATTTTGACCAAACCAGATGCTACCATTATCATGTGAGATAAATGGGTGCTTATTACTACTACTAAACAAAAATGAGATATCCCTAGATATGAACAGTGGAACAATTTATCCTTGTAAATAAAGTGTTCAGTTTAAAATTCCCAGAAGCTTACCTGAATTGACCGATATTTGAAGAACGCTGAAGGCATAACAGCCAAAATGTTGTAATAGTAACAACAAAGATGTTGATGTTAATCCAACTGTAAATAATAACTCCTCATTTTAGAAATTCAGACATCAAATTTTCCTTTTAAACTTGTTTCCTTATTTTTTTAGTAGTTTTTCCTCAGTTTTCAGTTTTTATTAAAACACTCTTGTTGATAAAATATTTGAATGATATGGCAAACAGTGCAAAAACATGAATAAAGAAAATAATTTCTTGATTTCTATTTTTGCACTATTTCTCATAGGAATTGAAGAGTGTCTCTACCCGAGTGTTGCGATCAAAGCAACAATAAGATGCTAAAAAGATAGTAATAATGAAGAGTGCATCAACCCAGAATGCTTTGAGAAAAAATAACAATAAAATGATCAGTAAAACTAATAATACTAATCATGTTAGTAAGTCATCTAAAAAAGGAAAAAAATTTAAACAAGCACTTAATGTATATTAATACACTTTATCTTTAACTTCTTTTTAATAATACTTTATATCCTTGCATAGTATGACCTCTGAAGTTTTTTTTTTTTATGAAAAACCTTTTTCTTTTCATATAGCTTGTGTATAATACGACTCCAGCTTCCGACCATTTGCTAAGTGAAAGAATTTTTTTTTTTTTTTTTAATTAATTCATCCCAAGCAAGGTGATAAGGCCACTAAGATACAAGGGTCTACTGGGAGTGAAAAAGAATGAGAAAACTTTAGAAGAAAGTGTAAATTCAATCTTAAACAGGAAACAAGGGATAAACCTTTACTCCTGTTCAAAAAACTAGGGAGGAGTGTGAACCAAATAATAGACAAACCTTTCTACTCCTCTTAAGAAAAAAAAAAAAATAATAAATAAAATTTCAGAGTCTACATGTAGATGTATAGAGATAAAGTAGACTTTAGAAGGAACTTTTGTTGTTTTGTAAATAATTTATTTCTGTATAATTAATAATTGTTCAGTAAAGAAACTACTTTGGTGTATTGTAAATAATTTCTTCCAGGAGCATGTACCATAATACCTTTTCATGTATAATTTATATATAAATAGTGGGATAGATTTTTATCACAGTCCTTTTATTGATTCTTAATATTAATAATACTGTATACTGTAAATAAATCTACTAGAACCAAAATTAATTTGGGTATTTAAACCTGTGCAATCATCATTTACTATATATTGCAGTGCCATCTTGTCAAAATATTTTAAGAATATGTAATGGAAAATTATAACATAAAATAATACCAGTAAATGTAAATAATATAATAAATCTAAATAGAGGAAGACAGAATAAAGAAAACAACTGAAATATACAGTATAGATACATATTAGTCAAAAGTGCGGGGGGGGGGTGACATTGGAAACACATACCTCAGCAATGTCAGTGCAAATGAAGATGAACAAAAATTGGAGAAAGGCAAAAGAACATTGTTAATTATTCATTTATATAAGGCATTTGTAGAGTTTTAGCAATTATTGAATGATGTTCTGCTGTTCATATAACAACAGAAAGAATCAGGGCTATGGGAGGCTGGCTGAGGGAGCTTACCTGTAATGTTAAAGTTAGCCAAAGGTACTGTAAGAATCTAAACCTATCAAGTAGGTTCCAGTCTTTGAAAATGCATGATTGTTAACTTCTTATTAAATTGCCGGTGTATAGTGTGACCCCCTATTTTTATTTTTTTTTTTTTTTTTTTTTTTGCATTAAAAAAAAAGGTAAAAACTTGCACTATACTTGAGTATATATGGTACTTACACTACAGTTCAAAAGTTTGAAACCACTCCCAGAATTAGCATGGGATAAACTTGACAGGAAAGTAAAAAAAAAAATGAAAAAGAGTTCTTAGAGTCATTGAAAAAAGAATGGAATCAATTATCAAACTTATACTTTGAGAAACTTTAGCAACAAATGCCAAAAATTTGTGCTGCATTAATCAAGGCTAAAGGAGGATATTTTGATGAGGACAAAATGCTTTTTTTCTCTTTGTCATAATAATTTCTAATAAAAAATCATGTCCCACTTTCTTTTTAATCATGTATAATAATTTTCTCTTATTTAAAGTACAAAACCACTACTTTTTGAGCCAATTTAAAAAATTACCAGTGGTGTCCTCAAACATTTAAACTGTAGGGCAAATCTTCAAAGAAGGTTGCTTTTAATTTAGAAAAATATTTGATCTTTTACCCAAATAACTCATTTGTGTTTCTAATTCAGTTTAACTTGTTCTTTTCTTTTTTATTGTTTGTCTAGGCAATAGCATCTAATGCTAAGAAGAACATTAACCGCCATGAATACACATCTGTCCTTTCAATATTCCCAATTGTGCAACATCTGCGGTCTATCAAACCTCAGTTTGATCTCACACTAGAGGTGAATAGTAGCAATTCTATTTTTTAATTTTAAGGATATATTATAATAATTTTCCTTTTTTTTTTTTCAATATCTTTATCTTTGTTATTTCCTTTTACACACAGACTATTATCCTCATCTTTGTTTGTTTTTTCTGTCTTCTTAATTCCTCTTTTATTATCTACACTATTTGTATTTGGACTATTGTCCTCCTCTTTGTTGTTGTTAATACAAGGTTTCGGACATTGTGCCCTCTGGCCTTCATCAGGTGCTACTCAATCTAGGTAACCTTCAGGGAATTTTAAACTGATACCCTTTTATTTAATCTACAGAAGTAGATAGTTCTCATTCCTCTGTCCATGTCCAGGGATATCCTGTTTACTTTTTATGTAATACTTCTCAGTTATTGCTCACACTGTTTCCACTGAGCCCAAATAAATTCACAAACCAACACTTTACTACACCAGATTATTGTCTTGTGGTGCAATTCTGAGTGGAGAACAGCCTCCCATTCCTTCAGTATGTTCTGTGAGTGTTAAATTTTCCAAACATTTTTTCTTCATAATGTGTCCCAGAAATTTCAACTTTTTGATTTCAAGTATAAGAGCCCTTTTAGAACCCATTTTCTTTAAAACTTCCTCGTTAATCACATGTTCAGTCTATAGAATTCTCAGCATCAGTCTGTAGAACTACATTACTTCAAGTCTAGTTTTTTTCTGACATATTTTGAAAATTTGTAATTATTTCATAAATTTTTGAAGAAAAAGATTCCTTTTCAAATTTATTTTTTTATAAAATGGTAAATAATAAATCTTCATAAAATATGAATAATAAATATTGCATGTCATTCACAAATTTTTATAATCTTGTAAATAAACATTTGCTGAGACAGTCAAAAGTGTACACGATGATAGGGCATAACAATACATTTGACAGTTTTTTTTGCAGTCATGAAGGTGAAACATTGCCATTTTTTTTTCTTCTTAATTCTTAAGATACAAAATTCTAATGCCTTTATAAATATCTCTTAAATCAAATTTCAGGTGTATAGGCATTAAATTTATTTATAAAATACAAGCAGGAAAAATACTAGAAAATATATTTAAGAAAACACTGTATTATGTTATGTTGAATAAAATTCTTTTTCATTTTAAAATTATCATCTTTTGAAGTAGTTTTTGGGGTTTTTTTTTTTTTTGTTTTTTTAATGACTGTTCTTTAATATTTTTTTTTTTTTTTTTTTAAATTTTTTTAGGGCTGTCAGGCTCCAACACGTGCAAAGCTAGCATCACTTCTGTCTGTCCTGGATTCAACAGTAAGTTCTTTGATTTCATCAATTCAGTTTTTGATGTTCATTGTTGAAATCCAATTATTTCTTTCATTACAGAATCATTTGTTTTATATTGCACAACATATTTCAAACAACATTTTTGAACGGTGAAAATTGTTTATAGCTTTACTGTCCTTATTTAGATTTTATTTTAATGTCTTTTTACTAAATTGGAAACATTTTTCACTTTTACATTTTCTTTCTTTACATCTGTTTTTATGATTTCTTGTTTCTAGGGAGCAAAAGCACTCGAAGCGTTCATTGAAAATATCAAGGTGAGATTTCTTAAACTTTAAATATAAATTGATTTTTAATCAACATCCTAGATTAAGAAAAATATGTTTCAATATTAATAGCCAAAACTTGAATACTGAATTAGAATATTTCAAATCTTCAGTTAGCGCTTTAAACCTATTTCTGTGTAAGAACAGAAATAATTATTTAATATATAGCCAAATACAGGATAGGTATAGATGAAATGAAATTCTGATAACCAAAACCACTATTTTTAAAAAAGTGCTCAATACAAAGTAGAGCAAATAATATTTATTCAAAAATTATAATATCACTACAAAAATAGCCATTTTGTTTCAACACTTCTGGTATCTTCTCAAATGATGGTGTTGATTGCGAAATTTTTTTTTTTTTTTTTTTTTTTAAAAAAACCTCTTTATTTCGGAATCAATGGCTATTTTTGTAGCGATGTTATAACGTGCTTATGTTATAATTTTTGAATATTGTTGTAGAGTAGTTTTCACAGTGGAGGCTTGTGTTTCAATAAGTCGTCCTAAATTAGGTTCGACGTACAAAACGTTAGGAACTTGAAATAAGAGTTAATGATGCAGCAATCTAGTTGTGATGGTTGATACTTCAATGTCTGACATTGATTGACTCACTCAACACCACTGAGCTCAACTGGCAACTGCTACTACTACTACTACTATTTATTATGTGTGGGAGAGTCTATTAATAATAGAATAGGTACGTTCAGGTATGACACATATATATATATATATATATATATATATATTAATGTGCCAAATATTTTGCTTTTTTGGTTTGTAATGTCACTATGGATCTTCAGGTGGTGTAATAGCATCTCAGAATGAGAAATTGGAATGCTGAGTTTGAATTCCAATTAGGTTCATTACATTCACTTACATGCAAGATACCCTTGGAAAAGGTATGCATCCATCTCCTTCACTCTGCTATGAGTTAAATAGTCGGACTTGTATCTGGAAAAACCAGTTATTCTTAAAAAAATTGTCAATGCAATATTCCTTTACAAAAATTTTTTCTTGCAATCCAAAAATGTTTCAGCTTTAAATAACCCACCATGGGTTGATAAACCATAAAAAAGACAGTCAAATGTAATGTTATCTTTTACTGTAATAGACTTATCTTCCTTGCACTAGCAATGCTGGTTGATATAATCTTTGTTATGACATTGGTGGATTGTGTCAAGAGATGAAAAGACTGACTCTATGAAAGATCAAAGTACAGCAATAGTAACTGAAAAAGATATTTGAAATGTTGTCATTTTTGATAGTCTGAGTAAACTAGTAAAACCATAAAACCATTTTGAGTAATACTCTAAAACCAAAAGACAAATGACTTTTTTATAAGACTTTAATAATTTATTTATATACATATAACATGGCTTTTAGTAAAGAATTAAAGTTGTATTCTAAAATACCAAGTGCACTCCCATGTTCACATATGATACATTAAATATGCATCCCCCCCAAAGCCCCCCCCCCATCGGTAGCACAACTCATCAACAATGCAATCAAGTGCTGATTGAAAACTATGCTATTGGTGAGAGGGGGGAAAAATGTATATTTAATATAAATTATAGTTCTGTTATTATTCATGGAAAAATCATAGTGTGATGTTATCTTATATATATTTAATTTTCCTTTAAGAATATTTATGAAATTGAAAAAAAATATAAATTTTATATATATTTTATAATGTATCATATTTTTTTTTTATTTAATTTTAGATTGATCCAGAAAAAGCATCTAATATGCCTAAGGATGGTACAGTTCATGAATTGACTAATCATGTAAGTAACATAATAGATAAAAAAAAAACAGTAAGATATTATTTTGAATTATGCTTTATCCTTTGGCACTCAGTGGGCAACATTGTTTGCCAAGTAAAATGTTTGTCCCATCATTGCAGACCACTATGATCTTCAGACAATAGTGTTTGAATTTCATTTGGTTTGGTTGTGTTATCATCTTCGGCTAAACAGTTTTGAATTAAATAAAAAAAACTAGCTTATCACAGTTGTGTGGCTGCCATATACAATGCAACCAAAAATAAGTCTTGTGAATCATATAAAGTGCTAAATGTTATGCATCAGTTTAAAAAATATGTGTGTATGCAATAACCCAAAAGTATTTTAAAAAATATAGTTTACAATTTTTTCTCTTTATTTTTATTAGTCAAAAGAAATTATCCATGAACACTTGTATATGTAAAAAAAAATGTCACCAAGGTGGTTTTGTCAATTGTTCCTGTGGACTTTTTGTGTCAAAAAAAAACAGAAGTTATTCACCTGACTAATTACATTGAATTTCTGAAATAAGGAATTTACATTATACAAGTCATGATTGACTTATGACCACAATTGATTACATAAATTGATCTGGTCGTAAGTTGGTCTGTAATTAATTTTGCTATCTTTCTTTAGGCATTATTGTATTTTTTATCATTTTTGTAGTTTCTTTACATTTGATACTATACAAAAAAAAAACAAAATACACATGAAAAAAAAAACAGAACACATTTTAGTTGCAAAACATACCAAAATACATACATGCTTGATTGTGGATATGGAGCAGACATGACCAGACATACCAATTTGCGATCATGGTTGTAAAGACAGTCTTATGTCAACGACAACCCGTAATTAAATTATTTTCAGTTGGCCTAAAATCTTCATCTTTATGATCCTGACTTTCTTCAGATGTCTGTCATAGAATTTTTTATTTGGTAAAAAAAAAAGAAAAATACAAAAAAATAGTTTAAACAAATATTTGATGTAACATTTATCTGGGCATACAACAGACAGAGTTTAAAGTCTGAGTTTAAAAACAGATGATAAATTTATTGTTAACACACAAAAATAAATGAATTATGCAAATTAAGCGCATTGCATGATAGCCAATAACATGTATATAAAAATTATCACTGTAAATGAAATATGTCATTTTACAATGAAAATTACAATGCTGCATAAGGTCCTCAGAAAAGGTAAACAACATAAAAAGTAAAATGAAAAAAAGAAGAAAATACTTTGAATAGTTTTCAAAGAATAGGTACAATTTTCGAAGCAAAGTTTGTGGTAACAATGAAGAATAGAACAATCACACTGAGGACTTTTCCTTGATGTGGGAGCGACTCTGATGTTCCTTTCAATTTTTGTCTGGTGGTTGTCAAACTTCTTCTGCGTTGTTTTTCTTTTTGGATTGGGATGACTTGGATTTCTGCATCAGATATTCATCAACTCTGAAAATTAACTTCAAGGCCACACTTTTATAACCTACAGGTAGGCTCCAAATTCACTTCTTGGAATTTGGAGGGAACCCCCTTTTATTGGTTTTGGATGAAAATCAAACACAGCTGTTTTCCCACAAATTGAAATGTTCCAAAAATATTTTTTAAATTCTAAAATTAAACAAGAACCCAATGCAGAATCTGCTTTCTCTCTGAAAGGCAGATGATACATGCTCAAACAGCTTAAATTTCTTATAGTCAATTCAGGTAACCCTCAGGGAATTTTAAACTGAACTTTTAATTCAATTTCCAGTGCTAGATTGTTCTCATTTCCCTATCCATGTCTAGGTATATCCCATCTTAGTTAATTGCTTATCCTGTTTCCACTGAGTATGATTATCTTCTTAATACCCAGCCCATGGAATTGAACACACAATTATTATGTCACTAAATTCACTAACCAATGCTATCATCTAGGCCATTGTCTCATGGGACAATCCTGAAGCTATAACTTGGAAAATTAACAACAAAGATAAGGACATTAGTTCAACTCTGTATAATGTAAATAATCTTAACTGTGTTCACTATTTCCCAAATGGTTATGCAGTGATCTAAGATAGCAGTCTCCACAACAAAAACTTTTTTTTAATTTACACAAACTGGAGTAACAACACATAACCTTATGGAAGGTCATTAGTGAAAAAAGAAAAAAATTTTTGCAGGCAACTTTAATGCTGTTTTATACTGATAAGGTCACATCAGATAATCGTGAAAGATTTATGGTTGGAACTGATGGTTCGTTCATCTCTATGTACAGACAAAAAATAAAGTTATTATTTGTCAGAACATTTTTTTTTTTTGCAAGGTTTTGTAATTGTATTTCAGTTCTTTTGAACCAATTTCTTTCTCACATTTTGTTAACTACACTCTGCAGTCTTCCTGAAGTGTAACATGTTATAGGGAATTTCACATCCCCTTAAAATAATATTCAACATTCTAAAATGCAACAGACACTTGAGAAAATCTGGCAACTAGAATAACGAAGGTATTAATAAAATGCAATTATGATCAGGAAATTCATCTTATTCAGATGAATTTCCTGATCATAATTGCATTTTACATATGAAAACATCACACTTTTATGCCCCTAATATAAAGGGGTTTTAATAATTGAGTGGGGGTGGCTAAAATTTTTCAGCCTTAGTAAAAGGTCAGAAAATTGTTTAAAGGGTGAAAAAGGGCAACATTAATTAGCAGGATGATCTTAATAAGCTTGTGGTTGGGGAGTGATAATTTCCTCAAAAAATAATATCTCCACCCCTGTCTATTAGACACGTAAGAGTGGTTGTTATTTGTTAATGTTATTTTATTTTTAAATGAATTGGATTTTTGCTTTTATTTCACAGACTATAATATTCCTTGTGCAACTCAAAGAATATGCAGAAACTGCTGGAGCTATGTTGGTGAAATATGGTAAGTAGTTAATTTGTATATATTGTGTTTTTTAGGCATAGAATAATTTTGATTTCTTAGCCAGGAACTAACTGCTTAATAGCTGTATTTTCAGGGATTATTTTTCAATACTAAAATTCACTCAGTACATGGCTTGAGGGATATTCAATGTGGACAGTTGCAATTAAAATGGTCTTGATGAGTGAGGTATGGTAGGAAGTGAAGAATTATGAGGATATAGAGGATAGATATTGACATTGACTGACCATTGACTTGAAGTGCTTGAACTTGGTATTTTCAGGAAAATTATTTGAAAGTCTGTTTCACAAAATGGCAATTCTTAGAAAAAGTTTTCCAAGTGGAATTTTCTTCTTATATTTGGAACACAGAGGAAATGAAAGAGAACTGACAAAAACAAACATTTCTGTAGATTTATTTTATCTGCATAAAGTATTTTTGTTTTATTTTTCTAGTGAGTTTCAACCTAACCAAATTTAAGATAAAAGAACATGTTTGTTATCTTCCTTATTGCCTAAATAGTCATGTAACAGAATTGCTCTCAGTAAAACTCTAAAGAAACAAGAATATTTTATTTGCAATATGATATATATAAAAGAGATTGTACAAAATATTAAGCTTTGTCAATGAATAATGCTATCTCTGTCACATGCTACCTGTTAAATTTCAGATACTAAAGGTAATAGCTATTATAGGACAGAAGTAGAAATTATTTTTCTCATTGCTGGCTCAGTCATGTTCCATGACAACTTGGGAAATTTTTTGTTTAAAAAACAGTAATTTGATTTTGCTAACCAGACACTTCCTCTAGCTAAATGGTATAGCGTGTCAGGCTATATGACAGTTCTGAGTAGGATACAAGTTTGATTCCTGTCAGAGGACATATTTTCTATGAAATTTTTCAGGCATTCAAGCCAGTAAATGTTGTTAATACTGTTTATTATAAACAGAATATTTACTTAAATATTTATATCTATAAAAATTACATAAAAACTATATATATATAAAATTAATGACAAAGTGGAAAACATTTTTCATCTGATATGTTTTGTCCGTTAGGACTTCATCAGACTAAAAAACTTTTTTTTCTTTTTTTCTTTTTTAAACATGTGTTTGGGTATAGAGTCTAACCAATTTCTTTTAGTTTTTTTTTTTTTTTTATCATTTTTGTTATTATCCCACATTGGGATAACAAGATCTGCCAAGAAAGGTGAAATGTTTAAAAACCTGGACGGAAATTTACTGTGAATAATCTGGCGATTAAAACACTTTCTATCCCTTTTTAATTTAAGTATCATATTTTTTTTTAAATCTCAGTTATGGACGGACTCATTATGGTGAGCAATTAATGCATTGAGTGTATTTTGCAAAAGATCTTTTGTTTATATATATATATATATATATATATATATATATATATATATATAATATTTCTATGCACTGAAAGTTGTATAAAGATTGAAAATTTTGTTTTCAACATTAATATGTAAAAAAGAATGTAAAAAAAAATAAAACTACGCTCAATGCTCTAAAGAAAACGGACCAATTTAAGATATATATGCATTAGCCAGGTTAATTATATTCACTTTTGCACAAATACTCTTGTGAAAGTATGAATTCATTGCTTCTCACCCCTCCATCTATGGGTTAGCTAACAGAGCAGACTGAAGTCTCTAGCAACTAGTCTAGTAGAAGGAAAAACTCTGAATTTAAAACCATGAGGAGGTCTGTTTTTGCAAACTTCTATGATACTGCTAAAAGAGTATGTTGGGAGGCACAATGAAGTAATGGGTAGATTGAGGGATCAGAGAGCCGAGTTCAAATTCCAGTTGAATCTATTACATTCACTTACATGCTGTTAAACTTGTAAAACTCATTTACTAAAATAATCCATGTAAATATATATGGAAAAGAATGAAAATTTTCAATAATCTATGCATATTATTTGGGATACACCTTTTGAGCTGGACAATCTTGGTGAAAAGGATGCATTGGGCAAAAAAGATTGAGAACCACTGTTTTATTCAAAGAACACACAATTGAAAACTGTCTAAAATTTGCTATTTTGACAACAATTCTGCATTTAATATTTTAGATTAATTTTGTTATTAAAGAAAGGGTTTTTTGTTTTTTAATTTCAGTGACATTTGTTTACCCACCTGTGTGCTTTTTTTTTTCTTTCTGCTCTCAATGGTTGAATGTTGTTTTTACAGAGTTATCTTCCCTTGTCTACAACTTTACATGGAATTTGTTAGGTATGAAAGCAGGGAAATTTACACTGCATGGGCCCTATAACATTCTTATATCTGTTGCTGCCACTGTCGCTTTTATTTCTTTGTCTTTAATAAACCTTTCTTTTTATGTCCTAATTTCTTATATTCTTTTTAGGATACTCTCTTTTCTTCTTTGAATATAAGCTTACAGCCATATCACATTAAAAGACCAGTACTGGTACAATCTCCAAAATTAAGCAACATCAAGCCTGGTTAGATGGTGACCACTTGGGAAGGCCAAGAGCTATAAGCTTTGATATGTAGGTGGTGTAATGGATAACAGCTTAGAATTGGAAATGGAGACCTGAAGATTGAGGAATTAAAAATTTCTATTTATGCCGATTTAAAAAAGAAAAGAAAAAAAAAGGGTGAAATTGAGAATAAGGACTCCAGTATCAATACTATATTGACACTAGTATACTTATAAACAAATCACACAATAAAATCCAACAAGCATTCCTTTTCTTTTTTTTTTCTTCACAAAGATGACTGTCTTGATTGTCTCAAGAACTTTTAAGTGATAGAATGCTCAACACTACAAACATGTCCTCATATTAAGTTGATTTACCTCCCTCCCAACTACAAATAGAGACAGGAAATATATGAATACATTGTAAATATATAAATAAATACATACATATTGATAATTATTATAGGGTTTGATTTTTATTTATTCTTGCTGGAAGATCTGTATTGATACCTATGTGTAAAGGCTAAATTTTATTAGTCTGATTTCTGTGTTTGAGATTTTCACATATGACTGCTGATTTAGCTACTCCACCCATTCTGTTATATATAAATGTAGTGATAATTTACTACAGTCCAATTGGGCTACTAAATTTGGAACTGACTTTCTTTTCATTGAGGAGTGTTATAAGTAATTCATCATGATGATTTTTTTATTTTAACTGCATTAAAAGTAAAGAAGTTCTATCATGCATAAACCATCTGATAAAGAACATTTCTAAATGTATGTAAAGTATTTTTATTATTTTGTGTTTAGTTCATGGTTTTAAGAGATATTTTTCAAAATATTTTTTACTTTATAAAGCCTTTCAAATTGCATTTTTGCAGTCGCCACAACTTCCTGTTTATATGGAAACACTTAGATATATGGTGTGGGGGAGGGGTTATATTGAACATATGTTCAAGATACCCCACAAAAAATACTTTAGAAATCTGAACATAATCTTAAATATTACGCAAACATTTCAAAGGAGTAACCAATAAAAACTTTATTAATAACAATAAATATAACAGCATAATAGTAAATATAATAATAATAGCAATGTGACTTATTATATTTATTGGTTATGCATCCTGATCTCCCCTTCTTAGTAATGAGATATTCCATTGTTATAATAACTAGATTTATTACTTGGTGCCAATGAGTAAACATGCTTTGTTATGATAATAATGGAATATCTCATAAGTTGTAGAGATCTGGTTGTTAATACACTGCATTTTGTTTCTTTCTCTTGATAATTTTATTTTTAATGATTTAAAAAAGCAGAATTATCTCTTAGAGATGACAAAGAATTAATTTTATGGATAAAATCTAAGATTATTCATGCAGAAAATATAACCAACAGGATTGCAGTGTTGCTTAAATAATTCAATCATTTTTTTATGCTAGGATTAGACTAGAAATCATCATCATCATCATCATCATAATGATGATGCCACTTATTGTCAGTGTCAAAATTTGACGTCAATGAGAAGTGTTATCATTGCAAACTGCAGAGGGTTATGAAGAATGAATAAGCAAAACTCCAAGACTTCCAAACTGATTATAAGCTTGAATATGTGACACCTGATATTACTGTAGTTGATAAAGTCAATAGAAAGTGAAAAAAAAGGAGCTGAGACATTTGTAGGATATGGTGACTATCATAGTGCCCATCATCATCATTAAGGGCATGAGGCTACGTTTCCAGGACTTTGAAGAGTAACCTGAAAATGAATGTAATCAAACCTCATGTTTCAAACCTGCAGAATTTCTAGGAACTGCATTCATGTATATCTGAGGTCAGCACAACTTGATGGGGAGTACTGATGATGAAAGATCTCCAGTATAAAGTAATGTGGTGCAAAGCAAATAATTTTTGATCCACACTAAAACCCTATAACAGTATAGGCTTATGACCACATCAAATTCAAACACCAGTTCCCCTATGATTGCCAAAGTTAAGCAATGTCAAGTCTGGTTAGTATCGAGATGGGTGACCACTTAGAACTATCATTTGCTGTAAACTTGGATATGCAGGTGGTATAATGGATAATGGTTTGGAATTGTTAATTCAAGAGCTGAGTTCCAGCTCCAGTTGGGTTCATTATATTCACTTATATGCAAATACATTTGGGAAAAGTATGAGCCCACCTCTAGTCTCCCCGCTATGGGTTAATTAGTAAAACTTGTATCACTAAAACCATTATTATCTCAAAAAAAAATTCTTAAAATCAAAAAATATTTTCTGGCTTTAAATAATCTGCAAAAGATTGATAAGCTGTAAAAAAAAAACATATTAAACTTGACAAACTTACCTTTGACAATAAATTTACTGCACTAGAATGCAAGAAAGATGCATTTTGTATCTGTCTTCTAATTATTGAAGTTAGGATTCATAAAGTGGGGAAGAGGGGAAGAAATGGTTGCTTTCAAATACCATATTTAATGGCATTATAAGGTCTCCTTTTTTTATCTCAAATAATAGCTCATAATGTATCTCC